CGTTTTCTGGCCCAGGCTCAAAGAATGCAGCAGCGCAGATCACGCGCATGGATGTGGGTGGTGGGAAGGGGCTGGAGGGCAGCCAGGAGGATGGAGGTTACTGCAACACCCAGCTCCCACTCCCCCAAACCCCCAGCAACGCCTGCTCCACCCCACAGAGCCAGGAACAGGGGGGACCTCTTCCCCTCTCCCATCCTGCCACCTCCTCCTGCCACCCTGGGACCCTGCTGAGCCCCAGGCATCTGGTGGCCACGTGTCACCTGAGCTGTGCTGGCAGGGATGCTGCTGCCTTGCAGTTGTGTCCCCTCCCTGCTCCTAGGGGCGTCCCAAATGAGCAGAAGGACATGGGCTTGGGGGGTTGTTCCAGGTGCTGCTCCCCTGGGAAGCTCAGGGCTGTTCCCTGGAGGGAACACAGTGCCACTGGGACACAGAAGAGGAGCTGTGGCTCTGCCAGCCACCGCTGACAGCAGCACAAACGGGGATGTGCAACCCCTGAGATGGACACAAATCCTCTTCCCTGGGGCAAGCCCTGGCCCGAGGCTCTTGCCCCACCACTGCAAAGCCAAGGTTTTGAAATGCTGGGGGTGCTGCTGGCAGGATAGGCAGGCTACCCTGTCACCCTGTCAGCTCAGCAGCCACCCTGCCACTCCCCACACCAGCCCCTGGCCTCAGGGAGCACAGGGACACAGCACTTCACCCAAGGACATCCTCAGCTCCTGGGGCAGTCCCAGTGTAGGGAACAGTGCCAAAACCAGGACATGAGGCTGAAACCAGAGCCTGGTGAAGCCTCTCCCTGGCTGAGGCTCCTGCAGCAGGCAGCTGGGTTAATGGCAGTGAAAGCCAACCCACCACCAGCTTTAATGAAGACTTCAAGCCTGTTGTGAAGCCACATTGGCAAGTGTGGCATCACGCAGGGCTGGGGCTGGCCACGGGCACCTCCAGCATTGCAGCGGAGCATCAGGAAGCAACATCGGCTTTCCCAATCCAGCTGAAAGCTCCTCGGATGTTCTGCTGCTTTGATTATTTGACAGACCATGTTTTTTAAATTATTCTTGTATAAATATTTACGCATTTTTACAAGAACCATGCTTTGAGCAGCGGGCCACGGCAGATGAAGGGCCAGAGGGGAGGGGGCTGGATGCTGCCTTGCTCCATCCCTCTCTGCAGGTCAGCTGGGGGTTGAGCAGAGCAGCAGGGATGCAGGGCAGCACTCCTGCCTGGGGCCCCGGGCAGTGCTGGGTGCTGACAGCACACACACACCCCGCCACCCCCTGTGATCCTGCCTGTCCCCCTCCCTCCCCAGGGAACAGAGCCCAGCCAAGCAGGGACGGCCCGAGGCCAAAGCCCTGCACGGGAACACAGGGCTGGCTCTGCTGGGAGCCCCACGCTGCCCCACACGCCCCATCCCTGAGCAGCTCCCAGAACACTTCCCACAGACACCCTGAGCCAGAAAACCCCACTGGCAGCAAGGGCTGTTGGCAGGGTGGAGATCACTTCTCCACTGCCCACTCCCACCTCGGCACTGCACCCCAGCCCACCCCAGCCTCAGAGCAGAGCAAATCAATACCAAAACCCCCTGCTTTTTTCTGGGGCCCCCATATGTGCCCCCAGAGCCCCTGGTCTGCAGGGATAGTGCCTGCAGCAAAGTCTGCTGCTGAGCTTCCTGGTGGGAACCCTCTCTGCCAGCCCTGACCTGCTCCCCAGGATTGTTGCTGTGGATTTTGGGAAGAATAAGGGTGAGCAGCCCCCCTCCCCCATCCACAGATGGGATCCACAACCCAGCCTCGAGTTTTCCACCGAGCTCAGCAGAAATTCACCCAGAAGGTCAGTGACCAGAGAAAGGGATGATCCATCATTAAATAAATTGTTTTCATTTCCCAGGATAAAGGGGAGGAAAAGGGGAGGAGGGGAGGTGTTGTTGGATCAGGACTGGAAAATAAAAGCGCACAAGGCAGGAAAACCACCCCCTGCACTCCCCGCAGAGAGCAGCCCCAGCTCCTTCCCTGCGCCCTCACAAGAGTTTTACAGCCAAAGCTCTTAATGTGATTATAATAATTATTTCTTTCCTAGCAATTGCCTCCCG